GGTATCTCTTGATATTTTTAAGGACAGTGTAAATCAATATGACAATTCTTTGGAACAGATTGTCCTTAAATTTGATTATTCAACATGAAAATTGGAAACAGTCATTGAAAAACAACTTCTTCCAATATATTGTAGCTTTTATAGCAAAGAATGAGAAGTTCTTTTTAGTCCCAGTTCAAACAGTTCTGTGGATATGTACTCTTTGAATAAGCTGCCTAAGCTGCAGCAGTCAAATAGGAGAAGACAGAATGCAATAAAAGGTTGAATCACATGTTCTTACCTGTTAGTTAATTGTGTCAATAAGGGTCGTAATTTTGTCAATATGCTATGTTCTCATAAAACCATATGATTAATGTCAAGGGATCATGTATTTCATGTATTTATGAAATTATATATTTGTTGGGAATGCTAAATTAAAAACTAATATATGCTTTTGTTACTTGACATTAAGATTAATTTTGTCACCAAGTACCTTAAATACTAAATAAAAAGAGATAAAATATTTGTTAAATGTTTAGTAAGCATATTCACATAAAAATCAAACCTTATATGTAAATTAAACCAGATATGTAAATATCTGCATTTTAAAGCATGTAATTTTATCTTTAGAAGCAAATAAGTCTTTGAATCCATGATCACAAAGTGTTTTTCTACTTGTTTGTCTCTAAATTTCCTTAATCTGTGTTTTGCAATTTTCAGTGCAAACATCTTGCTTCCTTACTTAGTTAAGCTTATTACTAAGTACTTCTCTCTTTTCAGTACCATTTATTTTAGTAGAATTTAGAATGTCCACCAAAGGCTCATGTGTTGAAGATTTAGTAATAATGAAACAATGTTCAGAGACTTATGGGAAATGATGGAATCATAAGGAGATGGTGGAAACTACAGGGACAGGGGTTAGTTGTAAAAATGACTCATGGGTTGAAAGTTTGTTCCCCAGTGCAGCAATGGTCAGAGTTGTAGTGTTTGGGAAGTAAATGGATCTTGAGAACTCTGGCCTTATCAGTTGGTTGTTAATAATTTGAACATATTATTGGGAGGTTGGAGGGCATGATCAAAATCAACAGGGCATTATTTTGAAGGGCATATCTTTTCCCCAGCCTCTCCCTCCTTCTTTGTACTCAGTTTCCCAGGCTTCCAGGAGAGGAACACCCTTCTGTCATGTTGTTCTGCTTTACCTCAGACCTAAAACAATGGAGTCCACTGATATTTGCCTATAACCTCTGAAACAATGAATCAAAATAAATCTTTCAACCTTTAAATTGCTTTTTGTGTGGAATATTTTTAATCACACTGGTTAATATATACCACTATCCCTAGTTCTTTATTTTATTCTTTTTAAGCTATATATGATAGTAGAGTGTGTTTTGACATATTTATGCAAACATGGAGCATATCTTATTTAGAATATCAGTCTTATGGTTATATATGATGTGAAGATTCATCATGGTGTATTCACATATGTACATAGGAATGTTTATCATGGCTATAAAAAGCTAACATACTAAAAATAAGATTCTTTTCCTAATCTTCATTGTTTTGAAGCAATACAAATAATTTTCTGTATTTGTATCCTGGTATTTTACTTAATTTTTGCTTCAAACAGATGTTTGTTCATTTTGTGGAGTATTCTGGGTTTTCTATATATAATGTCATGCCATTTACAAACATTGAATCCTATTCTGATTTGGATGTCTTTTATTTCTTTTACTTGACTAATGGCTTTAGCTAAAGTTACATTGAGGAGGTAATTATGTTGAAGAGAAAAGGTGAAAGTGGGCATCTTTGAGTTGTTCCTTTCTTAGTAGAAAAACTTTCCACAAATATGATGCTATCTGTGGATTATAATAAATTGTCCATATGACATATCTTCTCTACAGACTCAGTAGAATATCTATCAAAATAAAATTATATTTTTTACATAAATAGAAAGTAACAATTGTAAAATCGATTCAAAACCACAAAAGACCCTAAATAGTCAGAACATCTTTAAAAAGGAGAGCAAAGCTAGATATATTTCACTTCCTGATTTCAAAATATATTGCAAAACTCTGCTAATGAAATAGTATGGTTTTCACATAGAAAACATAGACCAAAGGAACATAGTCATGATCTCAGAAATAGAGCCCCATGTATGTGGCCGATTAATCTTTATCAAGGAGAAACAAAACACAAAATTGTGAAAAAGACCATCTCTTCACAAATGATGCTGGAAAAAAAAATGAACATCTGCATCCAAAAGAGTAAAATCAGACTCTTACCATATCCATACATAAATAAACAGTCATATTTAGATTTGAAACTGTAAATCTCTTTTAAGAGAAAACACAGGGGGAAATCTTGGCATTAATTTTGTTAATGACTTCTTGATTATAACACAAAAATGGATATGACAGTACAGATTGTAATAATAAAAATAGGTAAATGAGGCAACATCACATTAAAATAGTTTAATTCAGAAAAGGAAACAATAAAAATGAAAATGCAGTCTAGGAATGGGAAAAGTCTTTGTAACCAGTATGCCAAATATGATGTTTATTTCCAAAACACATGATGTATGACTGAAACTCAATAGTAAAGCAACATGTAAGCCTATTAAAAATGGACAAATGACAGTTCACAATAGCTAAGCTATGGAGCCCAACAAGATACCCATTGATAGATGAATGGATAAAGAAAATGTGCCATATATACACAATGGAATAGTAGTCAGTCATAAGGGATAACTTTCTGACTTTTACTAGAAAATAGATAGAGGATATAATGCTAAGTGACATTAGCCAAACCCCCAAAAACAAAAAAGCGAATAGAAGGTAATCCACAATAGTGGAGTGGGGTGGGGGCGGGGAATAGAAGTTCAGTGGATGAGATAAAGGGAATGGGGAAGGGAGAGGGGTTAGACATAGGAAAGACAATGGAATGAATCTGACATAAATTTCTTATGTACATATATGAATATAGGTCAGTGAATATCAACACTATATACATCCATAAGACTGGAGTCCTAATTAGAATAAGATATATTCCTTGTTTCTATAATTGTATCAAATTGTCATGTATAACTTTAAAGAACCAATAAAAAATAGGCAAATATCTTCAACATTTTTTCAAAGACTGCATGTAAATGGACAAACTGGATATAAAATGATGCTCAAGGTCACAACCAGCAGGGAAGTACACATCTAATCAACAATAGGATATCAGCTCACATTTGTTAGGATGGCTAAATTAAAAAAAAAAAAGTTCAGGTGAAGATGTGTGGAAATTAGAACGCCTTTATACTCTGATGGTAGTAATGCAGAATGGTACCGTCAACCCAGATTACAGGAGGGAGGTTCTTCAAAAATAGAACTATTATATGATACAGCACGCCAACTTTGGGCATTTATCCAAAGGAATTTAAAATAGATTCTCAAAGATATTATCACTCCCATGTCCATTAAGGCACTATTCACAAAAGCCGATATGTAGAAATAATATACAAGTCAACAGACAGTGAATAGAGTTAATAGAAAAATACCATTCATACACACAATGAAATATTATTCAGGTTTTAACCACAGGAAACCCTGCAATTTGTGACAGTATGAATAAACATGAAAGGTGCTAGGGGAAGTGATATAAGCTAGTCAAGGAAGCACAAATATTCCATGATTACAATTAAATGAGCCTTCTAAAATAGACTCATCTGACCAAAGAACAGTGTTGTGATTGTCATTCAATGCAGGGGGGAAATGGGCAGTTATTAATCAAGGCTTATAACTTCTAGAGATCTGCAGTTTAATGTTGTGCTTTAAAAATGCTGTATTTCACACTTTAAATTTTGTTTAGGCAAAATTTCATGTTAGATGTTCTTAACATAAATTTAAAAAAGAAAACTGCATATATTAATTAGATGTAATTTAATTTTACTATCAGGACATATCTAATGAATGATTTTCAGACAAAAATTATTTTCATTGAAGAAATATGTTTATCAGTCTACAGTCTAATGTTATCCTTCTATTCTATACTGCTGAAATAATGTTAATTTATTCTTGGATAAAATACTTTATCAAATTGCATTTGAATTCAAACTTTGTTATTTATGTTATTCTTTTGGATTTGCAACCCAGTGCTTTAATGAATACATTTCTAACTTATTGGTAGGAAGTTTTTAAAAAATATGATCACTGTACTTTTATAATTGTTCATAAATGGTTTTGATGAAAGTCCTAGTCAATACTTATTATTAGGAAAATCCTTAACAAATTCTTGATATTGCTGATTATCAGACAACTTTATAGAAATTAATAGATTTACTATTTCTGACTACAGAAGATAAACTTTTAAAACTATTAGTACTTTATAAATACTACCTTATATGGCCAAAGTATGTACTTTCTCATTCTTCAACTTGATCATCAATTTAATTTTAATTTTAATAGATATTATATTTGTGACTATTATAAATTTATGTCAAATAATTTCAAAAAGTTGATGAGGAATATATGGTAAACAAACATATAAATGCATTAATTATCTTTGTCATGGCTTATATATTGCACTAAATGATTATACACTTATAATACTACTTTTCTTCTCCCCTCGAGTTTTCTGTTTAAATCCCACATTCCTAAACTTTTATATTTGAACTTTACATGCTATATGAGGGGAGAAATAAATTAGAATTGCACTAATAGCTTACTAAACTGATTTTTGTTCAATATGAAACTGGAAACGTAACTACTGTATTTTTCTGTCACTTAAAGATAGACAGCAAATAAGATATTGTATGCTAAGGTATATAGGCTCTTTCCATGTAAAATATTTTCCATATATCTTAAAGTTCATATAAACCTAGTATTTAATTACTAATTAGTAAAGTAATATTTTAAATTCTGAAAATGATTTGTGTATTTTCTAGTTTAATATTTATTTGAATGCATAATTTAAATTTTGTAATCTTTTCTTATAAGATGATTTTATGAACATTATTCTTAATATGAAATATTTTCCAGAGCACTATCAACTATATGTTCCTGAATCAGCTCAAGTTGGCTCAGCTGTTGGGAAAATCAAGGCAAATGATGCTGATACTGGCTCCAATGCTGACATGACCTACTCCATTGTGAATGGTGATGGTGTTGGGGTATTCTCCATTTCCACTGACAAAGACACCAGAGAAGGAATCCTTTCCTTAAAGAAGGTAAAATAACATACATGTCGTGATTCACACAAATCACTAATCTTCCAAAGAATGGAAATTTGCCAGAGGTATGAATAAGCCATGTATTTTCTCTTTGTAATATAACTACATTTTGCTGCAGTCCGGCTACAGCAAAATAACCGGGGGGTGACGAACAAATTGTGTAAATTGATACAGCAGGAGTGGAAGCCTTTTATTGTAGGACAGGAGCAGTATTTATACATTCCACACAGCTTATCTAATTAACATAAACTAGATACAGCAGTCAACCAATAAGGAATCTCCACACTTAATGGCTCGCTGGCCTTACTTCACAAACCACTCCCTCTGGCATTTTGCCAGGTGCCATCCAGACTTGTTTACGGACTCTAACAACATTTTAATTATGGTAGTGTCTGAAGCTTTGGATCCTCTCTCAGAAAGCATACTTTGATAAAAATGAGAAGTCTGATGCAGAGTATACCTGGACTGTGTCTCTCCTTACCTTTGCTGTGTTTCTCATTGCTCAAGTCTACCTGAATTGCCCCAGTGATACTAATCAAAAAATAAGTATAATTCATTTCCACTAAATATAAAGGGTTAAAAATGTCCTCAAAATAAAGCTATGATGATAAAAATGACTTTTATTTTCTGAATCAATTGTTCTAATGTGTGTGATAGGACAGGAAAAGGAGTGTGCCACACTGAATACTTTGTATGAAATTTGGAGATACAAACCCACTGGATTACATTAGGACTTACTATTTTTATTAATGCTGTTAATGTTCAATAGAAAACTATTTGAAACTTGAATGGCAAAATACATACCTGAATGATACTTAGCTTTTAAATGTCTTTGGCATTTAATTGTGAGATCCTTTCCCCATCAATGTTTAGCTTTTCCAGTGTCTACCAGGTTTTTGTGCCTTTTATTTTTTCCAGCGTTTATCTTGTACTTTTGACATATAGAATATTTGCCTCTATTCTGTTTCTTCTCCTTTATCTCATTCTATTTCCAAATAATGTAAATTCTTGATATATAACTATTTGTCCTTCTGTTTGTTTTCTCTTATTAAAATTTTTTTCCAAAATGCCGAATAAATTAATAAGATTTCTAACTCATCTATTTTTTTGTTTTCAAATAATACATATTTGTGTAAAATATTTTAGAACTTTCAGATAAAAGCTTTATCATTAATGCTAGCTCTGTTAACACCATTCCTCATAAAGAGGATTTTCTGACTAATACAAAACTAGTGTTTGCTAACACGCATTAAAGACACAGCCTTCTGCTTGATTTCCATGGAGTCATGAAGTCCGTGTCAGTGAAACCATTAACTTGATCCTCCAGTCTTATTTTGTTTCTAAGAATCTGGCATTTAGCACAAAACTACTACTTTTTGCTTTTAAGAGTACATAAGTCTCTTCTCTTTATAACCTTAACAGTGGAATATACACAACTTGAAGAAAAAAATTCAAGTGTATTTCCTATTGCCTTGTGTTCCTCTCTTCATGTATATTCAGATCTTATTTTAGCAATACAGGAAAATTGAGATCCCTAGTTTGTGTGTGTGTGTGTGTTTCTGTCTGTCTGTCTCTCTCTCTCTTTCTCTCTCTCTCTCTTAATTTTCTTCAGTAGGGATGCAATATTCTGCATTTTAATAAGTACTCCAAGTGATGCTATGGTAGAATGTGTTCAAACACCAGTTGATAAATTGGTACCATAAAGTTATTTGTATTGTGTTGAATCTTTTCAATACTTCTTCTAGTAATTACATTGTTATCTTGACTTAAGATTGAACCTTGACTAATGGTGGAAAAAGAATAAGAAGCAAGATTATGGAAAGAAAAAGAAGGAAAACATACCACCTCTTATGGGAAGCTTTGCAGTAAATGACAGGGAGAGGTTTTGAAGGCAGTAGATGGATTTGGTGGGACAAAGATTTTAATTTTAAGAAGAGAGACTGAAAACAGACAACAGTGATGCCAACAGGAGAATAATTGATTTAAAAGGATGCCCTGGAGATAGAGGGCATCCTTTTAAATCAATTATTTAAATCAAGTTTTCAAGTAGTTTTCTATTGAACATTAACAGCATTAATAAAAATAGTAAATAGTAAATGGAATCTTGATCACAGGTGGATGAAAACAGCTCATTTATGACAGTTTCTTTCCTACACTGAGACAACTGAGGGACAGGAAGAAGATAGCAATGGATACAGGGAAGTTTGGATGATATAGCTGGATAATGTGGAGGGTTTTTCTTGTCTTGTAAGTCCTATTACCTTATAAAATAGGAAATAACATACAATTATAGAAACTGAGCAGGGTGGTGAATAGTTTGTCTATATTCAAGATCTGAAGTACATGTAAACATTGGGGCACTGTAAAAAGTGGGAAGATCTTCCCACTTTCAGAGCAACGGTCAATCTAATGGCTGACAGAAAAAAATGAAATTGAAACTATGCACATGTGCGCACATGTGTTGAATTAACATGCTTCATTCCCTTTTGCACCCACTCAAAATGGATATTTTCAAGAAGAAATGTTTCCAATTGAGCAATAAGTACTGATGATGTATTAAAAACAACCCCAGTGACTCAGGAGGCTGACAGGAGGATTCCAAGTTCTAGGCTAGTCTCTGCAGTTCAGCAAGACCCTGTCCAAAATTTAAAAATAGTAATAATAATAATAACTGGGGATGGATGTAGTTCAGTGGTAAAGAATCCCTTGGTTCAATTTCTAGTGTGAAAAAAAGAAAAGTAAAGAAAAACAAACTATAAAATCAATGCATTTTACCCTTCAAGAGGGACTGATTCGGATGGCAGGAAAAGGATAAAATCATCTTTAAAACCTGTTTCTTATTTAATCTCTAAGGCAGCTCAGTTTAGTCAGCAAGGCAGAAAGCTAATCTCAAAGATCAGAACCTGAACTACTCTATAAACCAGCCAGCAGGGGCACCTGCACATCCATGTCCATATCATTCCCTCATCAGAAAATTGCCAAGTGGAATTCTCTGATGCATGACATGGTACATTGTAAATACATTCTGGTAACTTTCATTCATTGTTTAATGGAGCCTGACTGGATGGAAAGGTGAAGAAAGATAAGGATGAATGCAAGTTGATGTGCTCTGTCCTCTGACATCCTCTGTTGCTCGGGATGGACTCCTCTACCACAGTCTCTCTCAGAATCCCTTTTTACGGTTCCTTTATCAATTTGCATTCTTTATTGCAGTTGTTCTAAATATTAACTCTTTTATTTCAAGACTCTAATTTACCCTGTCCCTTTTTAGTGAATACCATTTGTACTGCCGCTTTCTTTTCCCTAGCTTATTCAATTGCTCATACAATGCTTATTAATTTAACTCAAAATATTACTGTTGTGATTGATGTCAAGAAAGTACTAAGAGATACAAACTTTACTGTGGAAACAAAAGGAAATCTTAATCTTACCATTTATATCTATGACTTCATCCAATTCTTTGAAACTTCACTTATTTAAAAAATTTATTAAGTGATTCTGAAAAATAGATAATATAAGGTGAAAGGATGGCCGAAGCTATGTCTGACTCATAATCATTCTACCACATCAGCTTCTCCTTTGTTATCTCTCTCTTTCTCTATTCCACCGTCACTGGGATTACAGTGTGTGCCAGTTGTCTGATTAATATTAATCTTGTTGTGTGTGGAGTGGGGAAGGGACTGGGGACTGAACCCAGGGCTCCCCTGCTTGCTAGACAGGTTCCCTAACCCTGACTCATATTCCCAGCCCAAAGCACCTTTTGCTTACACTTTCCATGCCACTCCATTTGGTCCTTTAGATGCCCTTTCTATTCCATGTCATCAACCACCTGGATGCACAGGAAGAAGAAAATCCCCTCTGTCTGTTGAATCACATATGCTTACTTTCCTCATGTTTCTGTTAATCTATTTCCCCTTCCTTTTTGGGAAGCAGCAGGTTCCTTTATGCTTCACAGTTCAAGTTAAATACTGTTTGTGTAAGGCGTATTTCCAGGTGTATCTCTGTCAGGAATCTCCTTTGAACCCTCTTTTTTGTTTCATATGTCATAGTATGCATTACCATAATTTTTCACTGTACACAAAATGAAATTCCATATCCACAGCAAGGATTCTGCTTCTGATAGAATAAGACATTTTGTCATTAATTCACTCTAAATTACCTGTACTGAAAATGCATTCTTGCCTATAATAGGTGTTAAAAATTGCTAAAGCCAGGTACTGTGTATTTTTTAAAAGTTATAATATATTGTATAAAAGACCATTATATCATTTCATTTTACAAATAATATGAGATTAACCATAAGAATAAACAAATGTTAGAAATACATTTTTAAAAATTTAAATTCAAAATAACTATGGGTAAATGGAAGAAAGATTAATACAGGAAAGGGAACTAGAGAAGGGAGAGGGAATGGGAAGGAGATGTGTTGCGATCTGCATTAAACAAGATATATTCTATGCTTGTATAATTATGGCAAAATGGATTCTACTGTTATGTATAACTAAAAAGAACCATATAATTTGAATAATTTCTAAGGGAAAAGCATGAAATATTTTCAACTATACCCATATTAGACTATCCCAAATACCAATTTTTTTGTTTGTTTTTCAGATTTTGATTATTGAGGTTTTCATTGTTATTTCCTTGTTTGCTTTGAGTTAAAACAGTCCAAGAGTTTTAAACACCAATAGCAAAGAAGAGCCAAGGATCAGGCTCTTCTTTGCTATTGGTGTTTAAAACTCTTGGACTGTGAACAAGGAGCAAAAATTAAGGCATCCTACCCACTGGATGTGTAGATTTCTAATTCGAATGCACTGTAAAATAGGAACATTTATTAGAGAATTTACTATTGAAAAAGTTTTTCAGGCTCATTTTTTTTTATATTTTTAAATTCTAACATTTGAAATGTTATTCTGTTTTATGGATTGGATGTGAGGTTTTCCCCAAAAGCTCCTGTGTGAGACAATGAATGACGGTTTAGAGGAGAAATGAGTAGA